GTGGACCTGTGCTGACAGGTTCTTAATCCCCCACAAAAGGGCCTACACTAACAAGCACACCGCAAATCAAATCGGGCTGTGGGGAAAGAAGAGGATGGAATCCAGCCCTGTCGCCAGGCCTGGCAGGGCACGCTTGTCAGCTGCTCCAGCTTCCGGCTCCCCTGCCTGCTGGTGAAACACATAAATCCTATTTTTAGCTCATGGCTGTCTGATGTGTTCCTGTCAAGACTTTAGTAGCAGCTGCCACAGAGACCCTCACTTAACGGCCCCATTTCTCACTGGGATGAAGCTTCTTCACCAAATGAAAGAAGGAAGTGTTTGGTACCCGGACTGCTCCAGTTCCATCAAACCCAAGGTTGCACTCACTTCTTTCCATGGAGTCCTATGTTTCCATGTGCATACACGTGCGTGTGTGTGCTCGTATGCCCTTTTCTCCTCCTAGATGGAATAGCTGTGGAAGGAGAAGGGGGAAAATTCCAGAGCAGCAGCTGGCACATGACCCACTAGCAGGGCCCCTGTTCAGATTGGTTCAGATAGTGTATATTACAGGAGAAGAAAATAATAGGATTCTGGTTTGAAACTAAATGCATTTTAATAGAAAGCAGAATACAAAATAACTCTTTCAAAAAACAAATATGTAATCCTTAACAATAAGATTTTTATATCTTCATAACCGTAGGGTAGGGACAGACCCCCCCATACAGAAGGCAATGCACACCGGCACCCTGCTCTGTGATCCGGAGGTGTGCCTGAGCGGCTCAGACTCGGGCCTCCGACCTGGCCTTGTGCACAGACTATGGGACACGCAGAGGCAATGTGGGCAAGGCCAGCACGTATGAGGTTAGCACAGCAGGTTCTTCAGTGAATCCGTGTCTGGCCCTTCCTGGACAGAGGAGTTGCCTGTCAAGGGGGAATTCCCACAGAGATGTCAGCTCATCTGTGTTTAGAGCTTTCGGTCACCTGAGTTTCTCAAAATAATCAGGATAGCTTTTCTGGCCGAGGAGGGGTCTGGGTGTGGCATCCTCTGATCCTCTACAATGCAGAGTACACAAGCACCAGCTCTCAGCAATCATGAACACCGGCACCACCATCCTGTGGCAGAACAGACTATACTGGGGGCCCCTGCAGCAAAGATGGGAGCTGGCTTAGATTCTCTTCATCTGGTTTGGACCACCTTGGCCACTTGGCTTTGTTAGGGTAAGATGGTTTCTTTGCCTTTACCACAGTGCATCAATATACAAAACTGGCTTAGGTGCTCATTTACCATTCAAGCTTATGTGGAGGTTTGAATATGTTTTCCTCCTTAGGGGCAGGAGCCTGTTTGCAGAACACACACACACACACACACACACACACACACACACACACACACACACCATAGAGGTAAGAACTTCTTCGATTTGATAAACTAATGAAATATTCTATAGACTGATCTTTGGCATTGTCTTAGTCAGTGTTCTACTGCTGTGAAGGAACACCATGACCACAGCAACTTTTATGTGGAGAGCATTATTTGTGGCTGGCTTACAGTTTCAGAGGCTTTGTCGGTTATCATCATGGTGGAAAGCATGGCTGCAGGTGGGCAGACATGGTGCTGGAGAAGTAGCCTAGAGTTTTACATCTGGGTCCAAAGGCAGCAGGAAGAGGGAGTCCATGGGCCTGATGTGGGCATTGGGAAACTTCAAAGCCCACCGCCTGTGACACACTTCAACAAGGCCACATCTCCTAGTCCTTTGAAATAGTGCCACTCTCCAGGAGCCTATGGGTGCCACTCACGTTCAAACAGCCAGACACCCTATGCTGGTCATTCATATGAGTGTGCTTCAGTGGCCTCTGGGTGTTAAAATTTAGTAATAACTGATGTGGTGGAGGGCTCACTCTTTCTTCCTCAGTTTTCAGTAGTGAAGGTGTATTTGGACTGTGAAATTAAACATTCAAATTCAACATCTGCTAAACCTTAGGGCTCTTCACATGAGTCTAATCCGGTTTGATTGACTCCTTAACTGCAGATGAGGAAACTGTCTTGGTCAAACACAGAAAACACACAAAACAGTGATTTCTATCTCATCCCCAAACCCCTGCATTCTGGAGCACCTCTGCTCCATTCTGGACCCCCCCCCCCCCGCCCCGCCCCGCCCCGCCCCGCCCCGGCCTCTGAATCCTAGGCCATTCTATGCTGGCTCTCTGCACCTTCTACCAGAGCCTGTAGTTCCTGCCTTGGCATCAGCTCTGACTCCTTCCCAGAGGGAAGACGACTAGCTATACCACTTCCTTGGAGAGCAGAATGGGCCCAGGCCTACTTCCTGGAGCAGTGTTCTGCGAGGCTGAGGCAATGCGGTTAGGATGTGCTGTGCTTTGTAGATTTTGGAGCATCTTGACAGCTGACAGATGCTAGCCCGCGAGTCCTTACAGTCAGGCTTGAAAAAGGCTGGCGTCAGCTTCTAATTTGCTGCCTCCTCTGCTCCCCTGACTTGCTGCTTCTTTGCTGTCTGCTGTAAAAACAATCCAGAGACTTGAGGTCGGTCAGAACAGCATCCTTTGGACACGTTTTCCTAGAGAAATGTGCTGACCTACTTCCTGAGGAGGAGGCTGGTCACTGTGCTTTAGATAGATCCTCAGATGGGGAAACAGAAGAGGAGGAGGAGGCTGGTGTCACTGGGTGAGGAGGAGCTCGCAGTGAGCAAGAATGGTGTGATGGGTCTGCCAGGTCTGCAGAATGACCCCCCCCCCCCCTTCTGCTGGGGAAACAGCCATTCGTGAGCCATCTGCTGAAGGAAGGACAGTGCCCGGGCTGTGAGGTCCCCATTCAGGCCTCAGGGGTCAGGACCAGAAACATGATGAGAACTAGCTCACCTTCTGGAAGGATGAGGGTGCTGCATGTTCCTGCCACCTTTCCATGCTTCAGAGGCTAGGCCCCCAAAATGAGCTTTACCTGGTAATCTGTTCCTTCCCATGGTTCCTGCCTTACTCCTGACTTCCTGAACAAGGCTGGGAGCGGAACTCGGGTGATGTCAGCAGGTGACAGGCCCAGCTGTCTAGTCTGCAATGTGTGTCTGTGTCTGTGTTTATCTGTCTCATGGGTAACCTCAGTCACCAGAGCTCGTTTAGGGGAAGCTGGAGCAGTCGTGAGCAGAGGGCAGAGGCTTAGGACGTAACCCTGATGGCATCATATTTGCAGAGGCCCCAGGCAGAGCAAGCGCCAGGCATCTGTGTGAGAGAGGTCTGAAGAGATGGGTACAAGCAGGCATCCGTGTGGAAGCAGCCTTCCTGAGCACAGGCTCTCGAGGGTCTCCTCACCGCATCGGCAGCTCCGACGAGGAGCCAGAGCTTACCTTCTACGCTTTCCAAAGGGGGATTCGGGGTTCCCCCTTCAGGCTACTCTTGCAGTATGGGTTTTCACTGTGTGCTGTCTGCTTTTCATTCAGTCGGGTATGGAAGACCGGCCTGTTGTGTGGTTGAGTTGTGCTTAGGCGTGGTGCATTCTTTCATAGAGCTGTAAGCTTCCCGCTGTGTGACTATGTTGTCCGCTGGTGTTTCCTGCTGTCGATGGCAGCGTGCAGCGTGGCTAGTAACGAGCGCCGCCACACAAGCTACATTCACCTGCCCTGTTTCCTGCTACCGTCTCCTGCCACCGCTCCCACCCACGAGGACTGGGTGTCGCCCCTTTCCACATTTGTTTCTCAGTTTCGTCAGTTGCTCAGGAGGATAGGCGCTTTTCCTATGACCGTCGGCATCATCTTGCCCTTTTGTGAAGGGTTTCTTCTGTTTCCCCATCTGAGGATATATCTAAAGCACAGTCTTCTAAGCAGGCATGGGAACAGTGCCATGGCCCCCTGAGCTTCCTCTTCCTCTTGGCAGCAGGTCTTTCCCTTCCAAGGGGCATCTGTCTCGTGTGGCTAAGGACCATGCTGCCCCCGTGTCCTGCTGAAAAGCTGTCCTCTGGGCTGGCTTGTCCCCAACACCTGCTACTGTCCTTTCTTGGACACGGTTTCCTGTGACAAGCAAAAGCTAGGAGGTGGGTGGGTGGCAGCACCGTCAGTCACGTGAGCCCTCCTTCCCATTGGTGTTGTGCTCCATCCCTGTGCCCAGGGACAGACATCCACCCTGAAACCTTGTATTTTCTTTTATAATGTCGAATCTGGCTTGTTGATGAGGTTTTACATTCCCCAAGAATGATGGGGTGGGTACTCTTCATTGTCTCAGCAATCCTTTCTTTTTGAAAAAGACTGTAATTTTTCTTTATATGTCTCTGTATGTGCATAACACTGGAACGTGGGGGTCCCTGGAGGCTAGGAAAGGGCAGTGGATTCTCTGGAGTTAGAGGTGGCTTAGAGTTAGAGTTAGCAGCTTAATGTAGGCGCTGGGAAGTGAATTGGGTGCTCCTGGAAGAGCAAGTGCCCTTCACCTGAGTGCCCCAGCCCCTCTGTAATTATGCTTCATTGAATGGACTTGAACTTAAAGCTAAGAGGCCAGATCCGAGTAGAACACTAGTCTGTTTGTGATGTTGCAATTATCTCTTGTTGAGATAATCAAACACACCCCAAACTCAGTGAATCTGTGGTTTACACAGAACATGGTAGGGCCCGCTAAGGTCTCTCTGGCCTCGTAGCTCTAGGTGGCACAGCTTGACTGGCATGGGAGACCTAGGTAGGACAGCTCACACATGGCTGGCATGACAACGCTGGCTGTCCACTGAGGCTGTCAAGTGCACGCGGCCTCAATTTTGTGCCAACCAGTCTCGCCCCAGAGATGCTCAGTCTTTCTCACAGCTTGGCAGCTGACTTCCGGGGACCAGTTTGGAACCTTAATGGTACACATTGCCCATTCCCAGACACCAGGCCTAGACATTATCATGGTGCCACTGTGCTCTGATGATCACAGCTATCACAGAGTCCACCCAGATTTGGAGGGAGAGGGCACACACGCTGGAGGCGATGGAAAGGCCCTCGAAGCCCTCGCTCTGTACCTTACAGCCCCCTGCACTCTTCTCCGTCCCCTAGCCCTGACTGCCGCTGCTGGGAGAGGAAAGCTGGAGGTGTGTGAGCTGCTGCTGGAGCGTGGAGCCGCCGTGTCTCGGGCCAACAGGAGAGGGGTGCCCCCTCTGTTTTGTGCTGCCCGCCAGGGGCACTGGCAGGTACTCGGGGCGCCCCTTGGTACCTTCCAGAGGGGTGGGTGGGGATGGGATTCACTATTGAGGATCTTTCCCATCCCTGGCTTCTCCCTCTGTCTTCATGATGGCTTCCCAGGGCCAGCATGATGGATAGGTACAGTGAGCCGGGAGGACTGGCAGCCGTGCTAGAGACACAGTGGTTTCCTCCACTCCGGGAGGACCGGATTACAGCAGTAGAGGCTTCACTGTGGCACACCTGCTGCTGTTATTTTTGTAGCGTGTTTGTACAACATATTTGAAAAGAAGCTGCCTTGTGCCTCTCTGGCAATGTAACAGGTCACGTGCCCAGGCCACCCCTCTAGGCTGACCCATTGGATAAAGTGGCTTCCTCCAGGGCAAGGAGTACATGGGACTCCTGCCTGAGTCTCTGAGTTCTCCCCAGCCGTAGGAGCATGCATGGCGTAAGGAGCACATTGCTGATGCTGAGACTTCACTTTGAGATGCTTTGCTAAAAGTTGTCCTCTGAAAACAAGCCACCACCACCACTCCCGGCCCCCCAGTGCCGCCTGTAACCCAGCGTGTAGAGTCGCTCCCTCGCCTTAGACCCTTCTCTCCTGACTGTAGTCCTCCTCTCAGATTGTCTACAGATGTCAAGTCTGAGGCAGCTCAGGTCCCTTAGAGTGGCCTGGAATTTGCATTCAGTCTACAGACTTGGTGGAACCGGTTGGTCGAATCTGTTGCTGCAGAGCCGCAGACACACAGGGAGCCATGCCTCTCCTCAGGACCAGTTTGGAACCTTAATGCCATCTATGGGCCTCTTCCTGAGCTGTTAATGCACACCCCCCCCCCCCCCCAGTGGCTATCCTAATTACGACTGGCATGCCCCACTGCTAGTTCTACCTGGCATGTATGGTTCTTGTACCTATAATAACTGGGCACACGAAGAGACCACATAGAAGAAGATTTTGTTGAAAGGAACACAGTGGATTGTTTGCGCCCCACATATCCCCCTGCTTGGGGGAAAGCGGGAGAAACCGGCCGGGGAGAGGGACTGACTTCAGGCACAGCGGCAGGGCTGATTCGATGCTTCTCTTAGATCGTCAGGCTGCTTTTGGACCGTGGCTGCGATGTGAACCTGAGTGACAAGCAGGGCCGGACGCCTCTCATGGTGGCCGCCTGTGAAGGACACCTGAGCACCGTGGAATTCCTCCTGTCAAAAGGTATGGTGCTGGCTTCTTCCGCAGGAAGAACTCGCAGACCCACTAGAACTTCTGGCTCTCCGGCTAGTCTACCCACTAGACTGCATGGGTTTCCCAAGGCACCATGCAGCCCAGGTGCTAAGCGCTCCGCTTCGGTGAGGCCGCTCTGCCCTCAGCTCTGCAGACCTGCTCGGCCTGATGTACTTACTCCCAGGAAGGCACTGACGGGGATGGGGGCCACTCTCAGCAGCCCCAGGTTGTGTGAATATGTTATTAGACTTGGGGAAACCTGTGTGCCAGGTCAGGTCCAGCCTCCCCTCTTCAGTAAGCCAACTAAACAAAAGGGAGATTTACAACGTGGCCACAGTGTGGGACAGTGACCCCAGGTCTCAGCTCCATCTTTGGAGTCCTGAAGGGAACTCAGAGTTTAACCTGAGGGCCAGGGACATGCACATCTAAGCAGTCCTGGTCAGCGTGTGGGCCCACCTGCACTGACCCTTCGCTGTCTGGGCGTCCATCTTGTCCCGCTAGGTGTCCTAACAAGGTGTTAAAACTCTTGACATCTCTTTCTGGGAGACAAGTTCTCCCTCAGGTTGGTGCTTTCTCTTTCTGTCAGCATGAGATTCTTGGGGAATTCCTGTTGGATCCACTGGGGACACATTGTTCATCTGATAGTAGACTGGAGATACGGTGTCTCTTTAGGACATCTCCATTTCTGCCAACCAGTTACAAATGGTCTCTTCTCTCAGGCGCTGCTCTTTCTTCCCTGGACAAAGAGGGCCTGTCAGCACTGAGCTGGGCTTGTCTGAAGGGCCACAGGGCAGTGGTCCAGTACCTGGTGGAAGAAGGAGCTGAGATAGATCAGATGGACAAAAACGGCCGTACTCCCCTGGACCTGGCGGCCTTCTATGGCGACGCAGAGACTGTGAGTACCGTCAGAGGCTCGCTTCCGGTGTGCACAGCTGCCCATGTGTGCAGGGTGGGGCAGCGTGGGAAGGGGCTCACAGCAGTGTGCGCGGCTGCGTCTGTCCTCAGACTCTGAGTGTACGTGCTGTGTGGGATCTTCTCGGTTGTCCATAACTCTGTTACAAGCCAGCCAACCCAAGACTATTCGTCAAGATTTTAACGCGCCCTTAAAAGGCTAAGCAGATTCCCCCTGCCGGCTACATATACTGCAGACATGGAGTGGGGCGTGTTCACCCCATTCATAGTCCTATTTTATCATGTGCGGTATATGAGTAAAATTCCCCCTTGTGTCATTCAGAAACCACTCTCACTTAAGAAAAAGTATTGATTGAACAAATAGTTAATGTGTAAAACAGTAATTGTTTTAAGTTATTTTCAGCAATAATTTTAATTTATAAACTGAGAACTGGCAGCTGCCTTCCAGGGCAGACAGGCGCAGATCATGTCCTTGGGCACACAGCCTGTGCCCATGGGCTTGCCTTCCTCGTCACTGGCCTTCACTGTAGCAGAGTAGCAGCAATTGTAGCTGCTTTCCTGGTGCCATACAGTTTTATTTCTGCTTGCCCCGACCTAGCCCCATGGCCAGGGGCGTTAGAGTGGGTGTAAAGCTAACTGGGAGCTCCAGTCCCTGCCAGGGACCGCCCCTCACCTGTGTGCCGCCCCTGCTGCTCTAGGTGCTGTATCTGGTGGAGAAGGGAGCCGTGATCGAACACGTGGACCACAGCGGGATGCGGCCCCTCGACAGAGCCATCGGCTGTCGAAACACCGCAGTAGTGGTTACGCTGCTTAGAAAAGGAGCCAAACTAGGTCAGTGAACCCCACATCCATTCAGCAGGGCCAGAGGGTTGGCTTCCAGCACCTCACCTGAAAAAAAACTCTGAAGATTACCTGCTGAGGCTGGTACTGTCTGTGTTCTCCCTCTCTCTCTCCCTCTCTCTCCCTCTCGCTCCCTCTCTCTCCCTCTCCCTCCTTGCCTTCTCTTCTCTCTCGTGTCTCATTTAATCAGTCATCTAGAAAACTGAGTTTTCTCTTTAAAAAAATACATTTTATTTGTGTGTGTGAATACAAGCTGCATGCAGAGGTCAGAGGACAGACAGTACGTGGGAGTCAGTTCTCAGTCCTACCGCGTGGGACCCCAGCCTTGGAGGCAAAGGCCTTCAGCTGCTGAGCCACCTTGCAGGCCTTTAGCTCATCACATTCTTTCCAGGCAGGTAGAGAGCAGAGGCTAAAGAGGAGGGGCAGTCTGGAATCATGCACAGCCTGGACACTCACACCAGGAAGTATTAGTCTCTGGATTTTTATTGCTGCGATGAGAGCATGGCCAAGGCAACTTACAGAAGAGAGTTGAATGGGGAGTTACAGCTCAGAGGGTTAGAGTCCATGAGCGGCGTGGCAGGGAGCATGGCAGCAGGCAGGCATGGATTCAGAAGCGTGAAGCTGAGAAATAACTAGGAATGGCATGGGCTTTTGAAGCCTCAAATCCTGCCCTGCCGCCTCCCCTCCCCCACATCCTCCAATAAGGCCACACCTCCTAATCCTTCCCAGACAGTTCCACCAGTCAAATACATGAGCCTGTGAAGGCCGATCTCCTCCAAACCACTACATTAGGCTCTGCTTTAATTGCAGATGGCTGAGCATCGGCAGCTCAGAAAGGCCTGGCTGGTTCTGGAGAGCAGCTGTTATTCTAGAGTTACCAATGACAGCCTGAGAAAGTTATGACCCCAGTGCACACAATTTCTATGAAGGAGACCTTGAGGAGGTCCTTGGAGCGGGGAGCGAGCATTAACCCACATGTGTGTCTAGAAGAGCATCCCCTAAGTTCAGCACGAATGCAGAAACTACCAAAGGACCGCTATCTCCGTTTGCTAACAGGCTCTTTGACCATGGGCAGTTCTGAGTGTGGGGGCTGCATGGAAACAGTTTGTCCCAGTATTAAGCAATTCCCCATTTTTACCTTGCCCTGAGCGGAAGTAGTGGCGATGCCCATCTTTTTGCTTGAGAAACAAAAACAAAACACAGGAGCTCAGTGGCTTCCCAAGGTCATTCACAGTAAGTGGCAGGAATGCATATGTGATAGCAGTGTCCCGAGGCCAGGTGAAGGGACAGAAGGGCTGTAACCAGTGAAGACCAAAAGAAAAACTAGAAAGGGATGGGACAGGAGAGCCAAGCTAGGACCTCAGAGTGGACTAAGGTCAGAGTGCAGGAGCCTGGGGAGAGCAGCTTCACCCACCTGGGCGAGGAGGAGGAGCCTTTGAGGGTCTAATGCATTTTCTTGACTCTTAGGGGAGGGGAACACAGTTTCCCTTGTTAGTAGGGTAATAAGGGTGGCTTCTGTGGGCATCACTGATTCCTCATCGGAATCACAGAGTCGTGCTGCCAGGAGCAGGACGAAGCCCAGCACTGGCCTTTCTGTGAGTTCTTGCAGCCTGTGTTGTCGAGGGTGGGGCCTGCAGCAGAGAGCTGCTTCCCCCGGGCCGAGGAAGCACCCTGACAGTGTGTTTGTTTTGCAGGAAATGCCGCTTGGGCGATGGCCACTTCCAAACCTGACATTTTGATTATACTTTTACAGAAATTGATGGAGGAAGGAAATGTGTTGTACAAGGTAAGCGGCTTCATGACTCTCTGTGCTAGTATTGAGTCCGGCCCGCCTCGTGGTGCAGTATTGGATGCTGTCTGTGCGGGGCGGTGACTTCGCAAGAGTCCAAAACCCTTCCAACCTGAGCTCTTGCCTAGGAGTCTGCTAATTTCCAAGCAGCGGAATCTTAGTGGGAAAGCACTTCTCTTTGTATTTGAGAACAGTTGTTACTAAAACTCTAGGTGGTGGTTGTGACTTCCTGTCTGAAGCTACTCCATGCAGGATATGGTAGGCCAGCCAGCATATCCCACAGGAAGGTCCCTTCTCCCCTTTCAGACTTCCAAGCGTGGCACTGGACCTACTCATGAGGCACTTGGCAAAAGACACCATGAAGCATTTCCAAAAGAAAAGAATGTTTAAGGGAGGATGGTGCAGTGGCTAGAGTCACTGGCTGCTCAGCCTGACAGCCTGACAGTCCTGGGCCCGCTGGTAGGAGGGACTTGAATCTTCTGAGTCGTCTTCTGACTCCACATGTGTGGCCACAAACACACATGTACACAAAATAAATATTTAAAAAGAAAATTAGAAGAGCCATTAGGTGTGGGCACCTCTCCCCCAGGCTTTCACTTGTTGCTTCCTGAGTCTATAAGTTTTGGGATTTTTAGAAGTATTTTACTGATATTTTTATTTAATAAAGTCAAGTAGTAGATTCTCAGCTACTCAAGAGAGAGTTAACTTTCCCAGTTTTCCTCAGGAATGGAAATAAGACTTCCAGCTTCATGAATTCGACCTTAACATTTTCCAAATGAGCCTTCAGTTTAGACCCATGGTGGGTAGGCAGCAGCATATGAGTCCAGCTTTGCAGTCTGTGGATTAGCCAGTCCGCTGCTGGTCCAGAGGTGGTCACGGGTTATGTGGGCACAGCCAAGGGAGTGCACCCCAGTAAACTCTAAATATATGCCTATGACCTGTGTGTGCCACCACCTGGGTTAGGTAGATGTGTAGGCCAGTCACATACATTAGACACCTAATTAGACTCTTAATTAGGTAGAATTAAGAGTATGGGGAGGCAAGATTGTGACTACTTTCATCTTTTCACTACTGGGCAGCATTATTTGCTGTGTTGTTCATTTATTTCCTTAGTTGTTGGGTTGGTGTTTTTTTCTTTTTTCTTTTTTTCCGTAGTAACAAATAACTAGGCATATAGCATGACCCAGCAGGGTTCCTTGCTTGGAGTCGGTTGGAAATTGAGTTCAGGGTGTATATTGTCGTGGCTTTGAAGTGGTTTTAATATGGATTCCGCTAGGTAATTATGTCAGAAATATATCAAGCCGCTTCCAACAGGCTGCAGTCCCTGCTGTGCGCCGAGGCTGACTGAGCAAATGGATTTCCTTAGCCTTGAGAGTGCTGTGCTGTGGCTCTGATTTTAAAGCCAATTCTTCAGTGCTTCGAAAAGAGAAATTATTATTCTACAGCAAGCTGCGGCTTTATCCACGAGGCTCCTTAGAAACTACACTTTTTCGTGTGGTTTCTATTTATTATACTTGAAATTAAAATACACTTCAGTGAAACATGGCTCTAGAAATAACACTGAAATTATATGTGAGAGGATGACTTGATGCACAAAGGTAGGAAACTGGGGATTTTGCAGTTGGCAAACACCTTCTTGTTTAAGCCATCTTGTTCCTTGCCGTGCAACTTCGTGCAAAGGCCATGTAGCTTGAGCGTGTCTAGGCTGGTCAGTGTCCCGGTTCCTAAGATATCCGGGCCCTTTTCTCGGGCTGTGGTGACTTTACAGGAGGGTCTTCAGCATAGTGGTTCATCTTAGAGCCCCTGGGAAAGACTAACTTCCTATTACTCTTGGATCCTAGAAGGGGAAGATGAAGGAGGCAGCGCAGAGGTACCAGTATGCCTTAAGGAAGTTCCCTCGGGAAGGATTTGGAGAAGACATGAGACCGTTCAATGACCTGAGGGTCTCCCTCTATCTCAACCTGTCTCGGTGCCGGAGGAAAACAAATGTAAGCCAGGAGTTGTTATCTCCACTCGGTTCTTCAGCAGTAGGTGCAGGCCAGCCCCTCGCCCTGTCTACTGACGGGTGCTGTTGGGACCTGCTGCCCTCAGGGACCTCTCAAAGGTTGCAGCTGAGGCTCACCTCCCAGAGTGCTGTGAGAAGCGCTCAGGGTGAAGTGCCTCCCTTTCTTCAGTGAAGGCAGTGGATGCAGGCTCCCCCTCCCCGCAGCCTGATGCTGCTGGTGTTATCAGCTCTCCAGGGCCTTTTCTCCCCATGTTCAGGAAGAGGCCAGCAGAAATGTCCCCGCCCTGTGGCCCTGAGGTTTGTCTAGTCTCGGTTTTTAACCAGTAGTGGTCAGTTTGCAGTCTGTTACTAGCAGACGGTTTATAGTTCTTCCTACTGATGTTTTAAACTCCACCCCACCCCAAGTGTAACTCATCCGCTCTTGGCCTGGATTCCCTCCTGCTGCCTTTGCCTTCTCTGCTGCTACACCGCTGTCTCCTGAGTCATAATTGATGCTTCAGTACTGGATTCTTAGGGATAGTCATAGGCTCTGATTATCCAACTTCAAACAAGCAGGCGTGGGTGAATATGGGGGAGGGCGGAGCATGGGAGGTAATGCCTGCCCTGCCCCCAGGACCCCCCAGGGCCTGGTATACCCTTACAGTGGAGCTCCTAGGAGAGAGCCCTTTTTCTCAGTGCTGCTTCTGACTGCGTGCTTAACTGTTGACACCAGGACTTTGGCTTGGCAGAAGAATTTGCTTCAAAAGCTCTGGAATTGAAACCCAAATCCTATGAAGCCTTTTATGCCCGGGCAAGAGCAAAAAGGAACAGCAGGTACTAACTAGGGTAACTGATGTGACTCCTGAGACCTTTTCTTTTTTTTCCTGGGATGAGTTTGAGGGTGTTTTCTTCATCATGGCTATTACTCAGACACTGCTCACCCCTTTCAATACAAACCAGTAGCTTCCGAGAAGCACGGTTGTGGGTGTTATGGTTAGTGGCTAACATTCATTCTCTCGACATTCTGGTATCTTCCCCACTGTACCCCAACACAGCACACCTGCGGAGTTCTTGTTTCAGTGAGACCGACAAATAGAAGTGACATGGGAGCAGAAGAGGGACATGTCTGACCTCCGGGTTAGAAGGGGACATGATGAGGGCCAGAGAAGATAACCTGAGTAGGATTCTGGTACCCTCTGCTCCAGGGGTTTTTACAGACAGGTCAGGGACCTGGAAGCTCAAAGCCCTGGTTGGAGCACAGCAGTGTCCTTGGCCCGGCAGCTCTGGGCTCAGGAAATGCTTGGGCCTCACCCCTTTCCCTTCGAGGACAGCTACCTTCAGGGCGGTTACATTCTGAGCATGTTCATGTGTGGCTTCTAATCTAATCCTGTGCTTTCCTCTGAAGGCAGTTCCTGGCAGCTCTGGCTGACTTGCAGGAGGCCATGAAACTGTGTCCCACCAATCAGGAGATCAAGAGGCTTTTGGCCCGCGTGGAAGAAGAGTGCAAGCAACTCCAGAGGAACCAGCAGCAAAAACAGCAGGGCCCCCTGCCTGCTCCGTCCAATGACTCAGATAATGAGGAGGATGCACCGCCCTCCAGTTTAAAGGACCACTTCCCCATTGAAGAGGCGGAAGAGGAAGAAACCTCTTCCCAGGAAGAAGCCATTTCCCCGACTCCCAGATCCCAGCCGCCTCCGTCTGCCCCTTCCCCGTACATCCGAAACCTTCAAGAGGGATTACAGGCCAAAGGCAGGCCAGCGTCACCACAGAGCAGGGCAGGAGTCAGCAAGTCCCTGAGAGAGACTGTAGCTCAGCCAGGCTTGGTGATGCAGCCTACCAGACAGGCCCAGATAGTGAAGACCAGCCAACATCTGGGTTCCGGGCAATCTAGCATGAGAAACAGTAGCACAAAAACCCAAGTCCCTTCTCAGAACCCTCCCCCAAGTCCGATGCCTGGTAGAGTACCCGCAGCCCCTGCCGCGAGCAGGAACCAGCACTTGGAGGGGCCGGGCCCCTTCACTGCCGGAACTGGTTGCAGCCACTTTGGGGACCGGCTAGGCCCCGGCCAGAGCCTCCAGCTGCAGCGCAGTGAGAGCGGCACGGCCTATCCTCTACCGAGCAAGGTCAAAGCCGCCGAGAAGCTCCTGGCTCACGCCTCCTTGGCTGTGGACGTAGCTCCTCCCAGCCAGGGAGGACCTGTGAGCTGCAGCGATGCGCGACACCCGGCCTCCCTCGCCAGCTCGGGCTCTTCCGGCTCTCCGTCCAGCAGCATAAAGATGTCAAGTTCAACCAGCAGTTTGACTTCAAGCAGTAGTTTTTCAGACGGATTCAAGGTCCAAGGACCGGACTCTCGACTCAAAGACAAAGGTACAAACCAGGTGCAGGCTGGCACCGCCGAACACAGGCCCCGCAGCACCCCGTTCATGGGCATCATGGACAAGACCGCCAGGTTCCAGCAGCAGGCCAATCCTCCCAGCCGCCCCTGGCACTGCCAGGTGGCAGAGGGGCTCCTGACGAACACGGCCGCGCCCGCCGGCCTGCAGGCGAGCTCTGAGAAGCCCACTCTCAAGCCGGGAGGGTACTGTGGCCAGGCCAAGCCGTGCTCAGTCTCCCCGCTGAGCTCGGGCGTCCACAACGGGGCGCAGGCGAAGGAGCTGGAGGAGAACAAGTGCCAAATGGCAGCCCTCTGTCCAGACAGCAGGGTAACTAAGGGTGGTCCTCATCTGTACCCGGAAAGCATCTCGAAGCAGGCGCCTCATGTCAGTACGGAAGCCCACAGGAGCCACCTGACTTCAGCGAAACCAAAGCGCTCCTTCATAGAGTCAAACGTGTGAGCCTTAAGCAATGTCTGTGTAGACCTGAAGTGGTGTCTGTGGCTTGGGGCAGCAGATACTGTCTTTTTCTTTTCTTTCTTTTTCTTTTCGTAATAAAACTTACATCTTAGCCATATTTTCCACCTCTTGGGTGGGTCTGATGCCATTGACATATTAAAAGTATAGGATAATAAGTAGCTAGAAATCACCCACAAACGAATACTAAACAGCACTGAAAACTCTTGTCAGCTTATATCTGTCAGCGTAAGGACTGCCAAGAAGCCATCAACGGATGCCATTCACTTAGGAGATTATTTGGTTTGCTATGTGTAAAAAGCACAACACATACTTAGGAAAAAAAAAATCCATTGGTAAAAGATTTTAATTCCTGACAAAATATCTGGAAGTGTATTCTGGAAAAGATGGGGGATTTTTAAGCTACAGATCTCTTTCGTCAAACCCCAGATCCTGCCTATGTATGAGAATTGCAACCTGAGTGATTTCTAGCTGAATAGAAATGTGACTGTAAACAGATTTTTTTTCTTTAAGTGAAATATGAGCACACCACGCGTCAGGCCCGTCATGGCAGCTACTCAAAGGGGGTCGCACCCCTAACTCCATGTTACGGCCATTTTGTAGAGTATTTTTCTAGTCCCCACCCCTCTCGGAACTATGTTTATGCTTCACGGTGTTGCTGATAGGCGGGAACGGGCTCTGTAGAATTTTGATTGGCGTACAGGTCAGATTTGTGCAAAAGTATGAAGACAAGCAATCGCAGTGGCTGCTACAAATTAACTGGTTCCGAAAGTGCTCTGGACAGTGGCCGAAGTCCCTGAAACAAGCCTCCGATGGCCTCTCGGGAGTCCGAGTGCTGGTTTGTTTTCCTAATGCAGTCACTATTTCACAGCCACACGTTGTATATACAAATAGCTAGCCCAGTTTCATTCAGACTTGTAAATATAACTCAAAAGAAGTTAATCTAAAGGCAACAGAACCCCGCCACCTCTCTGCATGCTCTTTGTAAGCTTCCTCCATGCTGGTAAGCGCACGGAATGACGCGTCATCACGGCACGCTAACAGTGTACCTGTAACGGCACTTTATCTCACTTGTATGGACACCTGAGGTGCTACTTCAACCCAAGCTGACGTATTATTGATCTGTAAAGATAAGGTACAGGAGTGAGCCTCGGTTGAAGGTATTTTTCTATGAAAGCAGAAGATGTACACATGCTGGTTTGAGAGAGGCGGGGACAGTATTTTGTATGTTGAGAGATGAAATGTATTTTCTAGAATGGGGGAGAAGGAAGTTCTATATTTGCAGAATGTTTTTAAAAAACGAGGAGCCACGATGTTCCTGTGAGAGCATCGCTAAGGTCTTGTCCGACTAGGAACCGGGCAGTGTCGGGCGTCGGTCGGTGTCTGTTCCTGTGTGTGTGGTGTGCTTTGTGTAAGAAGCCAGGCCATTTTTATAAGCTTTCTCGAGCTCTGTTCTAATTACTATGGCTTATTTATTGTTTCCTTTAATATTTGTGAAAGTCTTACTCTTCTGTTATGTAGTTTCGTTTCTGCACAACTACTGTACTTTTCCATATGGAATAAAAACCATTACTACAAGTGGGCTGGCATTCATTAACCAGGGGCCAAGGAGGCAGTGACGTCGCTGCGACAGCTCCCTGCCTCGTGACATCATCCTAAAAAAGCGCTTTTAATTTACCAACAGCCACCTTTCATTTTAATTTCAGAGTAAGGGAAACTTCTAGAAATTCAAAAGTGCTCCAGTGTCCTACTTAGTGACTTTGCCTTAGGTAGGAAAGGACCATGTGTGTGCTAATGGGCTCCGTGTACAGATGCCGTGTGACGCTGGGCCTGGCAGCGCACTGCACTCCGTTAGGACCGTTGCTGCTTCCTGCACATCTGGGCATCTCTCCACCAAAATTGTGTTTGTCCTCTGCCCACAGACGTGTTTCAAAGCACTGAGAGATTGCTTTTGTTGTATCATGACAAAAACCTTACTTGAAGTATCTCATATTTATGTATTTTTTAACTTAAAAATTTTAAGACTTCCCCATGAGTGTACTGTATTCACATTATCTCCACAGCTCCCTGTCGTCCATCCAACCTTCCCTTGTCACCTCCCACGTCCCCTCAAATTCATGACCCTTTGATTGTCACACACACACACAGACACACACACCTAACCTGGAGTGTCATGTTACTTGTGTGTCCATGCTATTATGGCTGGCTCACCCATCCAGGCTTGTCCCTGGAAATGGTTGATTCCTCCTCTCTCGGCACCATTAATTGCCTATACCCCTTCATTTAGGAGTAGAGAAACTAATTTCCCAAGTACTTTTTAAAAAAAGATTTATTTATGTATATATGTGAGCACTCTCTTTGCCTGTATGCCTGCAGGCCAGAAGAGTCACCATGTGGGTGCTGGGAACTGAACTCAGAACCTCTGGGAGAGCAGACAGGGCTCTTAACCACTGAGCCATCTCTGCAGCCCCTCCCAAGTACTTTATAAAAATAATTGTTGTTGAGAATTTCATACATGGGTACAATGAAATATGACCATACCCTCCAACTTCCCTCCTCCAAGTTATCTGCGTCCCTAGCAACAGGTACCATCCCAACTGCACGGTTGTTTTTTCACTAACTCATGGAGTCCCCTTAGTGCTATGCAGTGTGTGCGTGGCTGTGGGGCTCTCGCTGGGGCAAGGGAACCCACCAGTGGGAACACCTTCCAAAAATCTGCTTCTCCATCCCTCCAGCCGGTACCAGGAAAGAGTAACCTGGAGTCTGAAGCTTGGTGCTGGTTTAGGTTAAGCCCAAGCGTCTCCAGTCAACACGATCTCCAGGTCCAAACAGAGGGATGGGCCAGCAGGGCCGAAGCAGTCCCTGGCAGTGCATGGTTCCGTTCTTGTCTTCATTGTCCCGTACAGCCAGCAGCCAGGGTACGAGAAGGCTGATGACATAAAGGTGCTCTTCTGATTCAGCCTTGGCAGAGACAGGACATGCTTATTACCTAGGGAAGAAGAGAGCTCCCCAGGTCAGAGGGCACTGGGCACTGTTCCCACCTCCTGAACCAAACCAACCCTGGGCCCACAGCACCCAGCGGGGGTGGGGGGGGAGGGTGTTGGCTGCTGAGCCTGCTTGTGAGATGGTCTTGGATCGGTTTTTGCTTGCTTGTGTTATATTGGGGGTGGTTTGGCATCTTCTGTTTGTATAAAAAGTAGTTAAACTTGTAAAATTAGTAGGTATCATGCTTTTTAAGAAACCTAACACACCTAAACGATAAGGTCTCAATTGCCCTTTCTGGCAGGGACTTTTCAGTTACTGTTAACTTTTATGTTAAAAAGCTGGCCAGCTCCCAGCAAGGCTACTACTTTACATAAAACAGAACAAAGATACTCGCTTTCATGGTGGATCTTCTCCAAATTAAAAAAAAAAAAAAGAATTAAAACATTATTTCCCTACAAGTTGCAACTTAGAAGAACCCAGGTTCAGTGTCTGTTTAAAAAACACACAGAGCAGTGGTTACAAAGAAAGGACGTTTTGGCAGCTAGATTTGGCAGTTTTCTGTAAAGGAATTTACTGTGTCAGTATGAAATAGGAGAAAGTGAAAGGAGCATTTATATAGTTTCTCCCTGATTTTTCTTGTTTTTTGTTTTGTTTTGAGACAGGGTTTTTGTGTGGCCCTAAGCTGTCCTGGAACTTGCTCTGTAGACCAAGCTGGCCTCCAGCTCACAGATGCACCTGCCTCTGATGTCCAGTGCTAGGATTAAAGGTTTGTACCATCACTGCCCCACATTTTTTTTTTTTTTAAATTTCTAAGTGGTATTTTATTTATACACAGAAGACTGGGACAATCTTGTGATTAAATGTTCACGGCGCTTTTCATTTATGAAATATTTTTTTAAGGTGTGTTTGTGTACATGAGTATTTGTCTGTCTGAATTATGTCCGTCTGCTTTGTGTATTTCTGGGGCTTGGGGAGGCCAGGAGAGGGCACTGGATTCCCAGGATCTGGAGTGACAGGGTTGTAAGCCACCCTGTGAAACCCGTCATCTCAAAGGACAGCCAGTACTCTTAACTGCTAAGCCACCTCTCCAGCCCCTCATTGACGGTTTTCTGATTTCTTATTTTCTGTGGTGCTGCATGAACGATAGTGCACTTTCCCGCTGGGCCATCGCCCAGGCCTTTGGGAAACTCCATTTGTAGCTTCCTTCACCCATATATTCAGGTTGTCCAAGACAAGGCCTCAGTCTGTAGCACAGGCTGCCTGGGATTCTTGGGGTACGTGGGCCAGTTGCAAATCCGTGAGAACCTGTTTGTCTGCCTCAGCCTATGCGTGCGAGGTTACAGGCGGGGCCTGGAACAGGTTGATTCTTTAAGAGAATGGACACGTATCCAGAGCTGGCCTGTAACTCACACTGTGGCTTCCAAGTAGTGATACTGTCCCCTTAACATTCTAGTGTGTGACCAAGCCTGACTCACAACCGAGGCCTGAAACCATTGCATTGGATAAGACAAGCAGGCACTGCTGGGTGGTTGTGGCACCCGCCTTTAATCCCAGCAGTCAGGAGGCCAAGGGCCAAGCCAGCCTGGTCTACGAAGCGAGTTCCAGTACAGCCAAACACTGTCCTTCAAAACCCAAAATAATTTACAGCTGGAGAGATGTCAAAGTGGTGAAGAACGCTGGTTGCTCTTCCAGAGGACCTGGGTTCAATTCCCAGCACCCACATGGCCGCTCACAGCTGTTTGTAACTATAGTTCTAGAGGATCTAGACACCCTCACACAGACATACACCAATGCACATTTAAAAAAGAGAAAGGCAAGCAGGGACGTGGGCGTGTCCACTGTAAGCTGCCCATCATCCGTCAGGTTCCTTGTGGGTACTCAGTGGTATGTGCGTGGGGTGACCCGCTCCAGGAAGTCAGGCGGCGATTCTCCATTGCCTTCTCTGACATTTATTTTTGTTTGTTTGGTTTGTGTGTTCAGTTTTAGAGACAGGCCATCAGGTGTACTAGGCTAGCCTTTAGGAGGCTTCGTAGCTGACGGTGACCTTGAACCTCAGGGTCCTCCTGCTGTGGCCCTCCCAAATGCAGGAACGGCAGGCAGGTCCCACCATGACTCACCTGTGCCAAGTCTACAGAACCTCTGGCGTCAAACACACCCTGCTCTAAAACTGGCCTCCAAGTCTCACCAGATTCCAGAATTCTCCTCACATAACATCCACGTTATGTCCCAAAGCAACCTTGGCTCCAGTTCCAGGGAATGCCATTTCTTCGACTTTCTAAGACACCAGGACACGTGAAGACACAAGACACTCACACACATGAAATAAAACACAATCGCTTTTTTCTTCCGTTTGTTTTTGAAAAGGTGGCCCCTATGTAACCCTGCCTGGCCTGGAACTCACTGTGTAGACCAGGCTGACCTCTAGCTCACAGAGATTCACTGGTCTCTGCAGGGACACACAGGCCTGTGCAACCACTCCCAGGTAAAATGAAACCGTAAAAAATTATAAGACCAGAAATATTAATCTACAGTAAGCCATGAAAAAAAAAATGGAAGTTTGGTTAGCCCAGCCAGAGATACCAATAAATTAGGAGGCTGGGGGCAGGGCTTGATGGCATATTCCTTAATTCTAGCATTCAGGAGACAGATGCAGGAGGATTGCAAATTCCACCCAACCTGAGCCCCATGGCTGGTGCACGACCAATCTCAGCAAAAGAGCAAAAACCTGTTTCAAGAAAACAGAACCAGAAATGAACAGAAACATTTGAGATGAATGCAAAGTCACCTTACGGAGAGAAACCAATCTGATGGTGAGCATTTTGCTTAAAAGTTTAGAACTACTGTGCTTAAGGGATCTATAAAACAATGCTGCTAACGTGTAAGCCCCACTCGCCTAAGGACGGTGAAGTTCTCCAAATGCTGGAGGCTGCTCCGTAATTGCCTGGTCGTGTATAGCTGCGTGTTTTCCCTTCTGTAAACAAACTTGCTGACCCCTGACTGCACGCACGCAGAAGTAGGTGCCTTGTCAATTTTGCCTTTATAAACCCTGACTAATATAATTTGCTGCTCTATCTTGAAAGGGCTCTCTCTCTGGTGCCAGTATTGGTATGAGTCTGAGGTGGTTTAGAGATTCATCAGTATGAGCAAGAGTCAAGTTTAATAAGAGCTTTTATTAAATATTGGCCAGTCCGTGGACGCTGGCCAGATCCATACCCGGGATTCCCAGAGTGTGGCCTTATTTCTTAATGTTCGTGGACACTTCCAGGGCCTGAGAGGACAGAGGCTGAGGACCAGCCCTGGCAGGCTTGCTGCAGTAAGCCTCCCGCGATGGCTCCACGCTGGGGAGCAGCCAGGCATCTGAGGTCAGTCCAGACAGCCCTCCGGAACGTCACTTCCTGTGTGGGCCATGCAGACACGTGGCGCAGCAGGTGCCAGGCTAGCCGCCTGGGCAGGCGCAGTCCCAGCATGGGAGAACTTCAGAATTCCAAGTTTCAAAAGGAAGCTAGTTTGCCATTTGCTATATTTCAGCACAGTATTGATTATCTGACCTAGCTTACTCTGAGGTTGAATAATGGAGGAAAAAAATCCTTACA